GACTACCACCCATAAGTAGAGGACCTCACTCCACGATCAGGTACGATGATTTCTGACCTCGAACTAAACTAGGAATCCGACCTATACTGACTTGATCGTCGGAGTGCTCACCTTTTTGTGCAGGTCCGCCCAAGTATCCAGAACGGTCCGGAGGACGAGTTCGAGCTGCAATCTGAAATACACTGTTGTGCATACCCTTGCATAAACAATATCCATTAATATCGACATGTTCGCACAATCAGGACCTTGACATTTCCATTGACATCAACATTTCAAACCTTGGGTGCTCATAGACGTATTTTCTTTTTGAAAAAAATATATATATAATTTTTACCCCAAAAAATTGTATCCAATTTTCACCTAAAATATTCTTTTATTATTATTTTATTTTTTCCTTTTGGGCAGACTCACTTTTAGTTCCTTAAAGTTTGGGGTTGGTGTTAATTTAGTCCATGAAATTTTAAAATTGATACTTTTGTGTTTTAGATTTCACAAATGATTCTAAATGRTTTGGAGACTATTTTAGTTAGTTAATTAACCTTAAAATGATGTGTTAGTTAAGTTACTCACTCTACTCAGATGATAAGATAAAATAACATTAATTTATTAATATTTTTGGGTATTGGACTCTTGTTTCCTTCCCACTCCTCTCTCCGCTTGAAACGTTGCGATGTGGGATTTATGAACCCTTTTTTCGTGTCTTTTCTTTTTTGTTCTTTTCAATTTATTTTCAATTTTTTATAGTATTGTGTTTGTAGAACTTCGGAGCTTTCCTTTTTTCTCTCTGAATGAAAAATTTGTTCAATCTGATTTAGTTTTCACTAATTTACCCACTAATTCCATCAATAAATTATTCTAAATAAGTTACAGTAGTTAATGTAAAAATCTTCAAAAACTCGCTAATTTCAATTAAATCACTCTTTGCACAAAATTGAATTTTGATTAATGCAAAAAATTGACTGTTTAGTAATGTATGATCAAATGACAACATTAGACAGGTGCAAAGATTGCCCACCTGGTTAAATCAAGAATGAGAAAGAAATGGGTACAAAACGAAAGAAAAAAAAAACGGCACCAAAGGTGAGTAGTTCTCATTCATCTAAAAGTGTTCTCAATACGATAGTATATGTAGTCATTAAAGGGTGTACAGAGGAATCTGCTACACAACCGACCAAAACTGACCAAACCAATGGCGTTCAATCAATTTTTACCCCATCATTGGGGTCAGCCAGTGGTCACGGTAAATCTATCCAAATCAACTAATCGACTTACATGAACTTTCAAATTCATGAAGGTCGATCTTAAACTTAGATTATGTTTGAGAGTGGTTTTAACATTTTGCTATTGTCAAAATCAACCCTCTTCCTATTTATCATGTTTGACAAATTAAAATTTTGATTTTAAGAAAGTTTAAGATCACTTTAAATGGATTTTCAAGGCATCACTTGAATAGTGATTTTGAAAAATCAATTATATTTAAATCTATCTGTGAATCACTCATTCTAGCTCATAGACCAAATTCAGATAGATTCACTCATTCTAGCTCATAGACCAAATTCATGAAGGCAATCACAAGAAACCCAGATGAAAATCAACATGATTTCAGTGAAAGAGAAACAGGATAATGATTTGTCAGGGAGATATATATATATATATATATATATTTGAAAGTCATTAAGGACAGATTTAAGAAAAAGGGGGGCACAAGCCCGGTCGTTTACTAATAATAGTAGCGGATGTGATAGTTAGTAATCAAAACTCAGAGAGAAATAGAGGAGACCATTTCATACCCGGTAATATTTCTAGGATGAGATGTAGATCTCTTGTTTTTGGTAAGAATAGTCCCACTTCCAGCCTTTGTTGCGGCCGGTAAGGTGGAACAAAGGCGAAAATGAGATATTTCTACTGTCTAGATTGAAAAATAAAAATCACAACAAATAAAAAAACAAATATAACTCCATTGCTCTTGTTGACATGTTCATAATATTGTTTCCAAGTCACCAAACCAGTAGAAGGAATAAATTGGAAAATGAGAGTATATTCTAACTTGTAGATGTAGATGGAGTTCTTTGTCTACATCCTTCTGTAATAGACCTCTTTTGATTCAAGCTGATGGAAGATCTTTTTCCTCTTTTATGCAACAAGAGAACACGATCTCTCCCCAGAAGTAAAGGTTCAAAACGTGAGTTTTGTAACATATTATTAAGATAGCATCGGGGTTGGGGTCGAGATGAACGTATGAACTATTGAACTCTGAAGCAGAGTGGAAACCAAGAAGTAGGAGGCAGCTTCTTCACCTTGATAGCCACATGGAAATCCCTAAGAATGGAAGCATAATGGCCAACCCATAGTTCACAAAAGTATCAGCATCTTCAATTTGTTCCATCTTATCATGTAAACTTCTCCATATACTTGTTAAAGCACCGTGTTCGTGGTCGTCCTGCATCACACGTCGTTTACCCTCTCTCTTTTTTTTTAAATCAATAAGATAGAATAGAAACAAAGTTACCCTTGTGCTTGTTTTACTAATATGATCTGGATCGTCTGAACAAATCAATGTTCTTTCATTGTGGTGTGACATTAGTTTGGCCTTGCTGGAGCCCTTTCTTGAGACAAGTTTGTAAGCTGAATCGGTATGAACTGTTTCCATAACCGAGCCAAAAAAGTTTGTCACAGGAATCTAGAGAGAAGAGAAAGGGACAAACTAGTAACAATTCCTCCGGAATGAACAACAAACAAAATTAGAAAGTGATTGATATTATTTCAGTTACTAAAATCAAGATCTATTATGGTTAATCCTGAAAATATATCGGACTGCATACTCATCCATGAGGGAAACAACATGGTTACAAATCAGAGTACACAAAAGGAAAGAGATAGGAATATTAAAAGTGAAGTTAGAAATATTACGATGAATAATGTTTTGCTCCTTGCTGACAATATCCTGAGTTTTAATGTTAACTAAAAGTGTGTATCATAGCCCTCACCACACAGACTTTCAGCGGAAACAAACAATAATTTCACGGACACAGCTTTGTAAATGTAACTAAAATGTCAATCTCATTTTGTCCTCAACTTTTAACATTTGATATATAAACTCTCAAAATATGTATTTTAATTTTTAATCCCAGAATTATAAAAGAAAAATGTGGCTTGGAATCTGTATTAATTTACTAATAATATGAGCGTATATCAGAGTCACATAGGTTGGTTAAGATAAGAGTATTGAGTGGGTGGATATTGTAGTACAAAAGAATGAATCAAAATGATTAATCTTTTAACCTGAATATAGGTTGGTTAAGAAAAGAGTATTGAGCGGGTGGATATTGTAGTACAAAAGAATGAATCAAAATGATTAATCTTTTAACCCGAATACATATCAACGTGTTATCATGGGCATGTATTAAAGCCACGTGGATTGATTACCGTAAATATTCGATAGATGGATATTAGCTCCTACTATAAAAGCAAGTATTAAAATGATTATTTTTCTAAACTTCGACGACTAAAATAAACATTTTGAACCCTAACATTTGAGGATAAACGAGGCAAAGATTTATCAAGGCCAGTTAAAACCAACTATAAATCAGAGCTTAGAGCAACAAACATGGTAACATAAAACAGTAATGTATTCGTGACCATAAAGAAGCAGATCAACTGGGAGAGTGAAAGTCAAATACTTTAGATGCTAAATGTACCTTCTCCAATTTACGTTGGTATAGATCTGTTTTATAATATGCGGTTGACATCAACAAACTTGGATTATATGACCTGAAAAGACTGCAAATTGCCACCAGAAGGAATCAAAGACCGGTTTGCACAGAGATAACTTTAAACAGAGTAAAATCAAAATACACTGTAGAGTTGTATATTTGAATATTATAAAACATAATATTTATGTTTCTGTATTTAAAGGAAAGTGTACAACAGTTTTCGTATGAAATACAAGTAAACTATAAAGAATAAGGAAAGAAGAGTAAAATTGATGAATACACAGAATAAATGGATATGAAAGTAAATACTCCAACGAAGAAAATAAGGCGTGGATGCAGTATTGAGCTAAAGTATTTCTGCATTTGCTAAAAAACTTTTAAAAATACTTCAAAATTCCCCTCATGATGGGCTATTTATGTTGATTAACCCAACCTTCGATCTTAGTTCTTCAATTTATCCTTGAAAGTGTCTAATTGAATATTTTCTCACATGTTATAACTTCTCTAGACAACCCAAAAATTCCACAACTTTCGGAGAAAAGAAAAGGTGAACCAGATCTTTTTCACCACTAGAAACAAAAGACATTAGGAAAGGTTAATCATCCAAACCGGACGTTGGATATTATGCAACATATTAAGACTTTCACAAACAATTTAACTTTTTTTTTTTAAACAATTTTCTTTCCAAATTGTGGAGCACAAACCTTTTTTCCAGACACTTATGCTGTCAATCAATTTAAGATATCAAGATTTTACTGTGCAACCGCCTTCAGATTCCAAAAGCTATATGGTATATCCTCTCGTCGTTCCCTTCCAATAACACCTGATTTTTCAGAAGGTTCAAAATTCTCTTCAACTCACTTTTCTCTTCTTCCTTCAAACTCTTGCAGTATATTTCAAGTCCAACCATTTGTATTCGAATCCTATATTCCACTAACACAAATTAGAATGGAATTTTGGCTCCACCATCCAATAAAATCTTGGAAACTTGACAGCCAACCGTAACTCATCACCCAAATATCTTCTCAAAATTTAGACCACCTGTCCATTTCCAATTTTTATCACATAATTGTTTAACGCCAGCTCCTTTAATTTTAAAAATTTCCCCCAAAACTTCTTCCTCCCCCTCTTCCCCTCTTCCCCAGTTACAAATGACTGGTGAACCAATCTACATTATTCTTACAATAAATACCCACACTTTATCATTGTTAACCAGTCTCAGATAGGACCCTCCATTACCCCATCAATGCTTCATTCCTTTACCTAAAATTTCCAGCACTGGATCCCCCATTTTAAGTAGCCAAGAAACCACCTTCCAATTTACCAAATTACTCAACTTTCCTCTGCCATTTCCTCTTCACATAAAGTTTCTCACCTTTCTTTCAAGGAGTATCAAGCGTAAGATGGACAAAAATAGGTAGGAAGATTAGCTAGAACCAATTGAAACAAAGTTAATCTCCCCCCTTTCATAATGGAAGCTTCGTCCAGTTGTTCAACTTTATATCAAGTATCAACTTTCACTATTACCTGTTGATTGATATCAACTTTCTATCAACGTGCTTACTTAAAGTTACCTAAGCAATCCTCCCCCCTCAATTGCAGAGGAGAACAAATACCTCATGAATTTGTTGTCAATGAGTAAGCATCAAGGAGGAAATGGGTGAAACCTAAATTTTCACTTTTAAACACTGAAGTTGTCGATTCTATTGAAAATACATGGAAACAAATAGACTTTCCTAATTTTTGGCACAATTAGGACCTAGAGATGATTAGGGGTGTACACGGGTTGGGTTGGGTCGGTTTAGAAAAGTTATATTGCCCAACCCGAAATTTTGAGTTCATTGGTTCCCTAATGAACCGAATGCTTAACTCAACCCAACCCTCAAATTTTCGGTTCGGTTCGGGTTGGGTCTTTGGGTCGCAATTTTTGAAGATTTGCGAATAAAAGAGAAGTGAATTGGAGACAAATCACATGATTTTGAAATGTGGAGTGGAGACACCAAGAGATATATGGAGTGAAGACACCGAAACGGCGAAGCAGATTTAAAGTTGGATACCTTAAATGAGGAAGATCTGGTGTGGAAATTGCTTACGATGTGTAAATTTGAAGTGGAAACACCAAGATGAGGCAGATCTTGAGACGCTGGCGTTAAGGTTGGAACATCGGTAAGCAGATTTGAAATTGACACATTGGAAGATGAGACAAATCTAAGGGGTAGATGCTGACCAGTCAGAAGTGAAAATGTGATGGTGAGGAGGAGAGACGGAAACAGACAGAAGAGAAGAGGAAGGAGGGTGGGGTTGCGAAGAAACTAGAGAGAGAAATGGGTGGGAGAAGGAGAGAGAAGACATGGGGGGAGGGAGACTGACGACGCAACGAAGGGATGAGGGTGAAATGAAAACCCTAAAAACTAAATAGTATATATATATATTTTTAATTATTATGTAAATTTCAGTTCGGTTCGGGTTGAATCGAAAAAAAATTTTACTGGACCCATGAATTGAACCAAATTTTTAGTTCTGCCAAAAATCAACCTAACCCAACCCAATTTCTTTTTTAACCCAACCCAACCCTTACGGTTCGGGTTGGTTCTTCGGGTTGTCGGTTTTTTGAACACCCATAAAGATGATAGCGTTTGGTAAAGTTAAGAGAATAGGGATATAACAAGCTTACCTGATTAATGAAGTATTATCATACATATTTAATCTCTCAAAGAAGGCTAGCGTGTAATAGGTGAAACGGTCAACTACAGAAACACCAACCTGTTAATTAAGAGGAAGACAAAAATAGTAACAATCTGAGGAAACAACAATATATGGTAAAAACAAAATCTGGGAGCCACAATATTAAGCAACATATACAATGATGTCAGGGCACACTTACATCAGGGTCCAAGTGATGTGAATATGAGTTCTCTCCTTTCTTACTACTTCCAATGGCTAGAACACCTGGGGAATGAAGCTGCATAAAGTAAGGACCCCTAGTTAAGTACTGAAAATTGTTGTAGTTTTACATCAACAAAGTTGATTAGCCACCCCATCACCAAAACGTTTTGAATGGTTAATTTAAAATTCAGTCATCTCTTCGATCCACTTTATGAAACATGCTATGGCATTAAAAATTTTCATTATGAATGCTCCAATTTTACTCATTCACAGACAGCTTTATGCCACAATGAAGAAAATGCAGATTGAAGATAATAGTTTGCAGAAGCAAGCTAAACTTAGAAGTAAAATTAGCAATATACTAAAAAAAATATCAAGAAGAGAACACTCAATTCCATTTGTACAATAAGGTATGTAAAATGTGCCTATGGCTGCTTTTTATGTCCCAATACCACTCAAATTTCCTGACAAATTCATGAGGTCGGTCATGAATTACTATCAAACCACAATCTAGGTCAAGAAACTCAAACACTATCCTTAGGAGTTATGAAACCCAGGTTGGATGATTTTCACACCTTTACCAACCATTTTTTCCGAGGTAAAAGATGCTCTCTTCTCTCTCCTCCTTTCTCTTCCCCCTCGGGTCCCCATGTGCTCCTCACCCCACGCACCATCGAGCTTCCAACGTTAAGACTACACCTCAGACCTTTTCAACAATGGACTCCCGCTGATATCTGAAAATGGAAAACAAGACTTTCTTGTGTGGTTTTGGTCAAAGAAAGAGGGGTAGGGTGATCCGGATCCAAGAGTCCCACCTACAAAGAAAGTTTCTTTTACCTTAGTTGAAGAAATAGGAATAGTGTGGATTGTAGATACATTGATGATTTACTTCTTTTCCAAAGGCGTAAAAGTTCTTTCGAAAAAATGCATTACTCAAATGGTTTCTTGTGGGCGTTGAAAACTACAAACATGATAGGAAGTTTCATTGAAATAACTAAGGTCGAACTCTCGGGTAAAAAAAAATATTGTGATTCCAGTTCGAGAAAACATCAAGGGCCAGAAGGACTTTAAATGTTTTTTTTAGTGAAAGAAAAAATTTCATTGATGTATGAAATTACAAAAGCGTCAAAAGAGGGATTACATGAAGCACTTCCAAGGAAGTGTAGCTATAGTGATGAAACATAGGGGAGGATTTACACCAAGTAATGACCGTAAAGACTATAGCTTCAAAAAAACTATCAAAGGGGAGAGTCTTGTCGTTGAAGATGCGTTGGTTTCTCTTCCTCCAAGTAATCCAAAAGAATGCTCGCATAAAATTCTGCCAGAGTAATGCTTTCTCCTTTCTAAAAGGATGTCCTGTTAGTGTAGCTTCAAGAAGGAGAGGGGGATCCGCCGACAAGACAGTGGACCATCCAAAAGTATTAAGGATGTGGTTCCAAAAATTAGAAGCAAAGTGACATGAAACAAAGAGGTGTTGTTGGGTCTCATGGCTTGATTGACACATCACACACCAATGGGGAGAGAGAGGCATGTAAGGCATTCTTCTTTGTAGTTTGTCACCGGTGTTTAGGGCTTGATGGCTAAGTTCCCATAGGAAAAATTTCACCTTTTTTGGATATGTGTCCCTCCAAACGCCTTCATAAAGATGCTTGGAAGAATTCAGGCAAGGCTGCATGAGGTCCTTTATGAGAGAGTGAGTGGAGAACAAGCCGTTTGGTTCAAGCTTCCAAGTTAAAATGTCAACCTTTGTGGATAGATGTACAGCAGAAAGCATGCGTGAGAGGGCTGCCCATTCTGAAATTTCAGCATCCTTAAGATTCCTTCTCAATCTCAAATTCCAGCAGTTGTTATCTACGGCAGACCAAAGATCCCTAACAGCAGCATCCTTTTTCATGGATAAGGCAAAGAGAAGAGGCAAGTGGCATTCCAAGGGTTTGTTGACCAGCCACGAGACCGTCCAAAAAGGGGTGGAGCTGCCATTGCCAATTTTATATGCCAGCCTATCAAAAACAAATTTCTGGGTCTTGAGAATCAATTTCCAGGGCCCTTTTTCGAATGAGAGGGTGGTTGAGTTGGGTTTGTGGGACCATGAAGAGATCCCATATTTAGAGTCAATCACCTCGCGCCACAAAGCCGTCCTTTCTTTTGTATATCTCCAAATCCATTTGGCTAAAAGGGCCTTGTTTTTCTGTTTCAAGTTGGGTAGACCCAATCCCTCTTCCGAAATCAGCTGTTGTGCAGTATCCCATTTGACCAAGTTCAATCCCAAAGATTCTTTGGTGCCTCTCCAAAGAAAGTTTCTAATGTAGCTTTCTAAGGTGTTGGCAACTTTAGATGGTAAAGGGAATAATGAAAGGTAGTAGGTAGGGAGATTTGCTAGTGTGGCCTGTATTAGTGTGTGTCTACCACCTTTGGAGATGAAGGAGTTTTTCCAAGACAGAAGTCTTTTCTTAACTTTCTCAACCGTTGGATCCCAGAAAGAGAGGGTTTTAGGCTTACCATGTAAGGGCAAACCAAGGTAAAGGATAGGCCAAGATCCCTTTTTGCAATTGTACTTGGATGCTAGGGTAGTATGCTCACTGTCAATTAGATTAACTCCTATAATTTCAGATTTCTGATGGTTGATTTTAAGCCCAGATGCCTCTTCAAACAGCCTGCTGATATTGAAGAAATTGTTGAGGGAGTTTTCATCGTATATAGAGAAAAGGATAGTGTCGTTGGCAAACTGTAGGTGATGTATGTTCAAGGAATTGTTTCCAAGGTCGAAACCCTTTATAAGGTTGTAGCGTGCTGTATGAGACATAAGACGACTGAAGACATCAACAATCATAATAAAGAGAAAGGGTGATAAAGGGTCACCTTGCCTCAAGCCTCTAGAAGCAATAATTTTTCCTCTCGGGCGGCCATTGATAATGATGGAGAAGTTTGTTGATGAAACACAACCCTGAATCCATTTCCTCCATGTATGACCAAACCTTTTAGCCTCAAGGACTGCATCAAGAAAATCCCAGTCAACACTATCAAAGGTCTTTTCTATATCCAGCTTCACAACCACACCTTTCTTTTGGCATCTTTCCCAATCTTCAATGAGGCTCATTGGCAATCAAAGATGCATCCAGAATTTGTCTCCCAACCACGAATGCAGATTGTGCATTAGTGATTGTGTGTGGCAGCAATCGTTTTAGTCTTTCCGAAAGAACCCGAGCAATGATCTTATAAAGGCAAGAAATGAGGCTAATCGGCGTGAAATCTCCTACATTTTTAGTTTCAATCTTCTTTGGGATCAGGCAAATGTAGGTTTCGTTGAGACTTGCATTAATAATCTCATTCTTAAAAAAATCTTGGAACATTCTCAAGATATCGAGGATGTTCCAAAACTTTTTGTAGAATTCAGCAGTGTAGTCATCCGGACCAAGGAACTTGTTGGTACCTAATTCCTTGACAGCATGCCAGATCTCTTCTTCGGTAAAAGGTTGCTCTATCTTTGTGCTTTGTTGATGGGTGATAGGGCTCCAATCCAAGGGGTGTGGCAAGAATATCTGACCCTCTTTCTTGGTGTATAACCTGTCAAAAAAGGAAATAAATTCTTTCTCAATGTCATTTTCTTCAAAAAGGCTGGTGCTAGTGGTGGAGAGAATTTCCGTAATAGTACTCCTTCGTCTCTTCGATGCCACAATGCGATGGAAGTAAGATGTATTGTTGTCTCCATCGGTTAGCCATTTTGATTTGCAGCGTTGTCGCCAAAGAGTTTCTTCCATTGCCACCACTTCTAGGAGTTGTGTTCTAAGAGATTTCCACTGGGTATGTTGAACTGTGTTTAAGAGCCCTTCCTCTTCTAGATTATCCAGAATGGCTATCTCTGTAGTAAGTTAGTTTTTTTGTTGTGTGATGTTACCGAAGGTAGAGCTACTCCATGTTTTAATCACTGTTTTCAGTCCCTTAAGTTTCATAATGAAACCGTGGCCCGACCAGCCTCTGAGAGGGGTGTTCTTCCACCAATATTCGATCAGAGGGAAGGAGTGATGTTGCAGCCATGCATTTTCAAACCTGAAAGGTGTGGTGCCCCATTTAGACATGCGAAAAGAAAGGTGTAGTGGATAATGGTCGGAAGTTGGGCGATTCAGTCTTTTGACAGATGCGTTCTGGAATTTCAAAAGAAAATCATTAGTAACTAAAAATCTGTCAATCAAAGTGAGAGAGGGAGGATCCCTGAAATCCGACCACGTATAAAGACCATTTGTAACAGGGAGATTCTGTAAACCGGCTTGATCAATGAAAGAGTTGAAGTGGTGCATGTTTCTGGTTGGTCTGTGGTAGGTTGATTTCTCGTGAGACTAATGCACAGAGTTGAAATCTCCCCCTAGCATCCAGAAATCAGTGCAAAGGAAGGAGAGGTCGGTCAATTCTTTCCAGAAAGTTGGCTTATCCTCAGAATTTGATGGGCCATATACCCCTGTGAGCCAGAACTTGGTACCATCAAGAAAGGTGAGGAGAATGGTCAGTGTATAGAGCTCCAAAGTTATATCAGAAACGTGAAAAGAAGGGTTATTCCACATTATAAGAATACCAATCCAGCCAATATCACGAGAGCTCCAAAGCAATTTAATAGTGAGTCGATCTACCACTTCGAGCTTAGTTTCTTGGAGAATAACAATGGTGGGATTTTGCTTGTTGATGAGGGTCTTTATTAGCGCTCTCTTGCTCCAAGAGCCAAGACCTCTGACGTTCCAGGAGAGAAAAATCATTTAACAGAAGACGACCCACCTTTTTTTGGTTTGTGCTTGTCATAGTTGATAGAGGATGTGAGCCCCGCAAGTTCCCTAATACCTTTGTATTTCTTCCGGATGGATGTAGCTTTCTTTGAGA